CTTCCCCCCCCCCCCCCCTTATCTTTTCTATGGGTACTTCATGGTTGACTTAGAGGTATGTTTCAGACTGATGTCCTGCTGATATAACCATCCTCTTTTCTGCTTCAGATTCTTCACTGAGTGGGGGCTCTAGCTTCTAGAATATGTTGATATTTAGTGGAATCCATTCTTCTTTTCATATGCACAATATTCTTTTGCCACTAGCTGCAGCACAACCCGAAAGCATAATAGAGCCACCCCAGTGCTTAATGTTGGGCAAGGTGTTCTTTTTCTCCAAAAAACTTGTGTGGTTGTAGCCAAATAGTTCAGTGTTTGTTTCATTAGTCCAAATCACTTGGTTTCAAAATGTTATTAAGATTTTCTTTTGCTGACTTTAGATGGTGTCTTGTCTGGTCAGGTCGTAGAAGAGGTTTCCTTCTGACAACTCTTTTAGACAGATCATTGTTGTACACTGTACAATGGACAACTACTCCAGTGTAGGCTATGCTTTACAGCAGATCATTTGCAGTGATCTGTTGGTTCTGTTTTGTAGATCTGACCAGTTCGGGGGCAATTTTAGCAGAGATTTTTGCAGAAGGTTGTAATGTTTAATTTTGTACTATGTGGAGGTTGTGTCAACTTTTGTTCACTTGGGATACACTGAAAAGTACAGCTTGCCTGGGGTGCCTAAATATTTGCTTGCAAATAAATGTTCTTATCATACATGATTAGTATTGTACATGGTTAGACCCAATAGCTACCAGAAGGGCAGTTTATCATGCAAGAAACCCACTGTTAAATGGCTGTTTGTTGAAGAGTAGGATGGTTGGAATTCAATCCTAAAATAGTGATGATCTGCTTATAAAGGATATAGGTCTTCCCTAATCAGGTCCTGCTTTTTCTCTCTAGTATCAGTGCTGAATGTCATAGTGACTGATGGAAAAGATGTGGCAGGAGGTGGACCTGGGTGGAGACTGAAGCTTATTGCCAGAAATAGTGTTGCAATGTATCAAAGACATTTCAACTGAAAGTGAATCTGTTTTCTGTTTTAACTATGGATTATCTGAGATGGTAGGGAGGAGCTTTTGTCTGCAGGTTACTGCTGCCTGTGAAGGAAATGCACACCTCTTGGAGCATATTTATCATATTTATTCCACTGATACTGAACAGTGGATTGGATGAGGTGCTGGATTTGAATAAGTAAATGTTTTCTAATAAGATAATTAAAATCTCAACAATCTATAAAAAGGGAATGGGCTTGTTCTGATGTGGTGGCTTAGCAACACGCAAGCAATATGAGGAGTTCCAAATCCAGCAGTACTATTTGAATCTATATGTCGTGGGCCTGCTCAGTTGGGGATTCTCCCTCTGGTCCCTATTGATAATTCAAGTTAACTTGTTATTGAAAATGGTCCTCTCACTGTTGGTAAGTGTTTTATCTTTAGTTATCTCTCAAGTACTTAGTAATTCCATGCTGTTTGAAAGTGGCACCATAATGCTAAAAGAAGAAAATGAGAAAATATTTGCCTTGAAATGTGGAACTCTTATGATGAAACCTTCATTCTTCCTCAGTGGGTCTTTTTAAATTCTAGAACAGAGAGATCAGGTTTGGTCTGTGTGTGTGTGTGTGTGTGTTTCTTTTCCATCTCATTTGTTCTAATAAGTAAAATAAAAAGAAATTAAAAATCTATTAAAGTTATTAATTGTTGCAGATGTCAGATAGCAATGCTGCTAGATATCCTTTCAAGTGACTTTGTACTCTTTTCTTTCTGATGGACAGGCGTCTGCTGTTTCGAAGTTCAAGCATTTTGCCCCATGATGAAGGCAAAGGACCTGCAGCATTTGCTCACAAAAAAGTTTCAGAGCCTGGACCTTTTGGCCGTGCAGGTCAAACAAACTGTACTTCTTACTTTATTGAGCCAGTACAGTGGATGGAGGCAGCACTGTTAGGAGTGTTGGAAGGACAGGTGAGGAACAGAATCAGTTACACTGTTTTGAAGAATGTTAGAATAGTTGCTGCTTTGCTAAAAGCTGAACAAAGGCTGTGATCTGTTAAATGAGGTTTAAATGTTTATGTACATTAAATAATAATTTGAATATGGGGAAGGCATCTGGAGGGAAGTATGCTTTATCTTCTCTACAACCTGTCACTCAAGGTAGCTAGTTTGCTGAAGGTTGAGCTACGTTGGGAAGAGGAGTTATCTATCCTTCCCTGACATGGTTCATCCTCAATGCTTTGCTTTCTGATCTGTTTGGCAGCAGATGTTATGGACCATGCTGAGCTGAGTTCTCCCTAACTCAGTGCATGATCCACAGTGGAGTGGAAGCTGCTCACACAAGTATTGCTCTGGCCCCAAAGGTTCATTCAATCTGTATGTAGTAAAGCTTGGTCATAATGTAGAGTAGCACTGAGGAATGAGGATTAGCCCTATTCAAAGAGAATTATCTATTCATGAATACTTTTAACTTCTTTGAGATACTGTTGTATTGTGGAAGGTTGTAAAAGCACCAGATGTTTGCTACATTGGCTGTATAGATGATGCACATTGCAACAGATTTCTTAAAAGTGAAATGATCTCCAGTTCATTTTATTGCAGTAATTTACAATATGAAATAGATGGATGGAAAGATTTTGCTTTCTGTTCTTGGTGTCCTTTGTTTAACTCCAAAAATATAAAACCTTCAGAGATATAATTGATATTTGGGGCCAGAAATTAGTAGCTACAATGTCAGCAGTGTCAACAGTCATGTCTGTTTCCATGGATGCTAATGAAGGAATGACAGATATGAAACAAATTTTACCTGATGCAGAAATTGTAGAACCAGAAATATTGGATAACAAAAATTAAAAAAAGTGTGGATTACAAGATCGAGAAGGCAGCTAAAGTGGAAATACAAATGACAAACCAAGAGAATGACCCTGATAAGGACTTTCTACTGGATACACAAAAGAAGTTGGTCAACGTTTTGAAAAACAATGTGGAATTACAAATGACAAACCAGGAGAATGACCTGGATAATGAGTTTTTACTGGATTTACAAAAGAGTTTGCTAAAGCCTCGAAGAAGCCTTTGGGCTGGGAAAAAGAAAAATTGAAGAGACACCAAATCCTACAACATCTGAATGAATTAAAGATCAAGATTGTTAGAAGTAAAAGGAAGGCATATAAAGTTGGTCTGTTTAACCAAGGTTAAAATAAGACACGTTTCTATAAAGCTCTGGTAACCCATTACAGACGTTTTGCTGACACCATGATTGAAAAGTTGATGATTTATGGATTTGCATGTAGATGAGGGATGGGTTATAGGAAGAAGAGATATTTGTTTGTAACCTTATAAGAGGTGAAGAGTTATCAAATTTGTTTATACTTGTTGTGATGAAAATCTGAAGTTACTTCTTTATATATTTATTTTATTTTTCTTTACCTTTTTCTTTTTCTTTGCACTTCTTTCTATTTCTTTCACTGAGTTTAGTTTGTATTTGCTTTTACTATTGTATAAAAACTTTCAATAAAAATTATGAAAAAAAAGATATAATTGATACAAAGTTTAGTCAGTACTATAGTGGAGCTGGCGGGTGGAGAAGCCTTTTTCATAATAGCATTTCTTTTACTTGAGGTCAGCTGGAGAGGAAATTACTATTGGTTTTGAAAAATTAACATTTCGATTGTTTTAGAGCATCCTGTTAGAAAGAATAAATACCTAGGCTATTAATATTAAATGAAACCATATCAGAACAAAGGAGTTCAGCAATAGAATCATAAAGTTGGAAAGGACCATTGTATCCAATTCCCTGCTCAATACAAGAATCCAAATTAAATAGTTTCCAACAGATGCTTGCGCACACTCGGCAAATGGGATCCTCAATATTAGTGGCTGATAGATCAGAGAGCCATCATCTTAAAATACCGGTTTTACAGTATGTAGAATCACATTTGGATCTCTTTTCCTGTGGGATAGTTTTCACCATTCAAAAAGCTATCTTGGGAATACTCCATAAGTGTTTATATTATACAGCATTATCATACACACAAAACATACGCTTCCAAAATCAAGGTGATATTTTGGAGGACATGACAACCCACACACACACAAGCATATGTAAAACCTCCAAAACCACATATATAAATTGCTAGTTACTATTTGAGAAAATGTAAAGAAAAATTGTCATTCTTATACATGCTCCTCAAATACCCTTTTGCTTTAGTGTTTTAGCTCTGTGTTGTTTTTACATGTCTTATGAAAAGGTATAGGGTTTTTTTGCGATGATTCATTTTATCCATTCTACAAGCCCAAAAGAAAAGTATTACCTAAAAAACAAAATTCCCATGGCTACTAGATTATAGGTGGCAGGGTACTGTAAGCACGCGGAGTCTATCAGTATGTATACGGATGGATTATTGCCTCCATGGAAAAGTTAACTAGTAAATTGAGTTCAGTAAAGGGAAAAGATAGATCAAGAAATTTTATTGAAATGTAGGCCCCTTTTATTTTCTTTGCATATCAGGACTTCGGGTTGTCATGTCCTCCAAAATATCAGCTTGATTTTGGAAGCGTATGTTTTGAGGAAACAAAGTTTGGATGCTTGTGTGGTTTGCATTTAATTTTGGATCATCCTATGGCATCCTTTCCTTCAGTATTTAAACATTAAATTAAAAACAAGTCCATTTTCCCAAGGAAACAAACGATGTGGCTTTTGGAGGAAATAAAAAGTCAAAAAGTCCTATTTCACACGTGGGCTTAAAGAAGTGCAGTATTTGTAGAAAATAGGAAGCCAGTACAGGTTGTGTAGAGAATGAGAAACTGCGAGACAGAAAAATTGAAGAACAGGGAGTCCCAAGACACAGAGCATAGGAGCAGATTTCAAGGGAATGCTAAATAAATGAAGTTTTTAAAAGAGGCCAGGAAGAGGAGGGGGAAATGAGGGACAAGATGAATTATTTCAGGGAGTTAGGGGGTTAAAATTAGGAACCTAGGCAAATTATGGGAAGAGGTATACTGGAATTTTTTAAAAAAAATATGGTCCTCTAAGGGTCACACATTAATGTGCGCGCTTACAAGAGAGATCTAGCAGTACAGGGTTTGTGAAGTTGGGCAGTAAAGAAAGGAGGGCAAGTTTCATTTGACTTGAACTAACTCATAAAATGTTTTGAAGTTAAGACTTCCACAACCATAATTGTTTTTAAAGATGAAATGGCAGGCAGAATATCAAATGTCCTTTCTCTCTGATTCTCTTGTAGCTCCTGTGTCCAAAATGTACATCAAAGTTGGGCTCGTTTCACTGGCATGGTGAGCAGTGTTCCTGTGGCCATTGGGTGACTCCTGCCTTCCAGATTCACAAGAATCGTGTTGATGAAGTGAAAAGATTGCCCATTGGGGAGCTGCAGACTGTGAGAAAGTGAACTTGGTTTGTATTAGGGCAACTCCGTATAACTGGCACACAGACACCTACTTTAATTAATGCTGTAAGAATCGGTGGCCTTACGCAGTATTTTTCTTTTAATTTTACAATAATAGTAGGCAAAATATACAGCAGAGCTAATTGGACACACAGTGGAACATTTCTTGAAATGGTTTTAATTTCTTCAAACTAAACAGTAAAGTAATGTGTGGTCACACTAGGGCATATTTGCACAGCATGACTGCACAACATATTTGCACAACATGACTGCAAATGTCTCCAGAGGGTCTTCCTTCTGAACAATTCAGCTGCGTTGTCTATGTGAACTGTATTTTCCCAATAAAAATATTCCTGAAAGTTTGGTGGGTGAGTTTATGTCTGGAGAGGGAACAGGCAGGATGTTAAATTATAGAGATGCTCAATTATCAAAGATATAATTGAGGTTTGTTAGAAGATCTCATATGAGATGTGCTTCTGTTCAAGTTAATTCTTCTGAAAGTTGGGGAGTTTAGAAGGGGTGGGCTGCTCACCTCAGCTTCTGGGAATTTTGCCACATGTATAACCAGCTGTTCACATATAAATCTTGGCAAGTAGCCTATTATATGAATGCTTAATCCATTTCCAGCCAGATCTGTTCAGCATGGTCCTCTTGAGGAATTTTGGAATTACTACAGTTAAAAAATTCAAACCATATTTGCATATTCTTTTTTATTTTGTATAATTTGATTTTTTTAAAATACTCTTGTGAAGTAGGATTTGGCAGTCAGTGCTACACTGAGCTGCATACAATGGAGTTTATGTGTTTGTGCACACGTGTGTGTAGGTAGTTGGCAGCAGATCTACTGATTCTGGTAAGTTGCTTAAAGATACATCTCATTCTATGACGGTGATGAAATTAGCAAAAATGGTCAAGGCAGTTTATGGTTGAAAGGTAGCTGAGACATTAAAGACAAAGATTGTATATCTGAACACCACATAAACATCAAGGATAAAAAATATGAAACTTGTAGGAGCAGCAGAAATGTCATACAACAAAGTCCCACTTTCAATTAAAAAGACCTAAGAAAATTGAAAAATATATATATCAAGTGTGGGGTGGCCTTGGGGGGAAAACGGGAGGGGGAAGACACATTTCAAAGCAAGAGTGCTGTGCAGTATTGAAAGGGCCTGGTTATTGGTACCCACCTATCTCATCTTCATAGGCTCGTGTGTAGTAAGCTTGTAATAGCCCAAGCAAGGGCTTACCAGCTTATGGATATTCCTAGAAAGACTGTGTACAGACAAGTTGATTAATCAGCCTTAAACAGTTTAACCATCTTAAACTGTTCAAAGGTATTCCACGCTACAAAAGCCTTTTATAGGCCTAGCAACCATTTTTAATTTAGGAACATTCCCAAGATTGACGTTAAAAGCACTGGGGGGGGGGGCGGTAAAGAAGCCATCCATGGTATTACAAAGTGTACCTGCCAAAGGGTAGAGCAAAAATTCTCCCAAATAAGAGTGGAAGCCCCGTTCCTCCATTTGCAGAATAAATGTTCTGGGGTGTTCCATACAAACAATCACCATTTCTCGGCTGTTCTAGAATTCTAAGACTTGGAGCAAAAGCGTCAATTAACAGGATTGCAGAATGCAGCAATTCGATATGTGCGGGGCGGCTTAAATTTACCTCGATGGAGAGGTGGTGTGATTCGCTTGGAGGCAAAGAGGAAAGCGGTTTCCCTAGACGAAGAAGTTCACAGCGCTTGGAAGCGTCCTCACTGTCATTTATTCCACCGTTACTTGCCGAAGCCAGAAGAGGTGCTGGGCCTGCCCTGAAGCACCTCCTTGCTCCTGCAAGTGCTAGAGAAAGCTAAAGAATACATCTTGGATTCTTAGCTTGTTATCATAGCGCTACCTTGTCCAATTAAATAGTGTTTGAAACTTGCTGGATGTTCCTTATTCTCAAACACACATCATTCAACAATATATTACCATGTTTTACATTTGCCTGTTGAGGTCCTTTTCTGGGTTTTAGTTGATTGGTTGATTCTTTATGGCATTAAAAATTGTAACTGAATTGACTTACTCCTATGCATATTTACACACATAGCCATATAACTGTGGTATGGGTTTGTAGATCTTAGCTTTATGAATCCATTGGTATGATTTCTGATTGCCTTTGTATATTGTTTTCACAGTTACTTAGTTTAGATTGTTTAAATCAACTTACGTGGTCATAACTTCAAAGTTGCTGACAATTATTACAGTTCTACTTTTTAAATTCTAATTGGAGTCATTCATAAAGTCTAGTTTAAATAGCTTTGTGGGCTGTAATATTGCAGTTTCCTTTCCTTTCCTTTCCTTTATTGTTTAATATAGAGAGACACCTGGATGTAATTCATACTATTCTACCTGTTGCTACTAATGATGGTTTTTTTTGCAATATGCATTTTGTTTAGTTTATTCTAATAAAGCTCTATCAAATTATAAGAGTCTAGTATTTCATCATGTTAACTGGGCATATGTCTAAATTTAGGGCTGTTAATTTACACAGCACTAAACACAATAAAAATTGATTTTTTCATAGTTTCTATTCTGTCTGGAATTACCACCTTGTAAATCTCTAGGCAAGATTGCCAACTGATTGCTCTGTATTTTCTCCCATTTCCCCCCAGTTCTTTTGGATGCTCATTTGTTCTTCTGATAAAGTATCATTACAATTCAGAAGGTGAAGACTATTTTAACAACGTTGCCCTGACTCCACATTAACATATGTGTATGCTGGAGGCAGTGCTTTTTCACTTCCTTCATTTCATACCTGATCATAGATTTTCAGAGGGTTCCTGCCACTGCTGCACCAAAATTTATTCAAGGAAAAAAAAACCTTCCCCCTTCTTCCTTTGAACATGATGGCTTTAAACCATGATTTTAGAGGGTCTGCTTTGCTGGGTATGCGCAAAATATTTCAACCTCAGAACATTCTGATTTCAAAATGATTATTTTGGCTTCAAAACCGAACACATGCAAGAGACAAGCAAGAGCTTTGAATTGAGGTTGGAACAAAATAATTTTATTCTGACTTTGGCATTTAAAAAAGGCCATTTTGAATGGTACCCACAGTGACTGGGCTGTTCAGGGCCTGGATGCTTTTTCCAAGCTGTTTTCAAACAAACCAGTACAGTGGCAGGTCCAGTCAAGGCCAATTTGATTTGTGTGGCGTTCAGTGACAGCAAAGTATTAAGAAGGGAGCAGCAGTTAAACTCACCACTACACAGAAGAATCGCTCGCAACTGCAGATCTCCTCGTAAGTGGCCTATGGGAAGTTAGAGTTCAGCTGGCTGAAGAGGTGGGTTGCAGTTCTTGTTTACGCACTGCGCTTTGCTTTAGTTTGCAGACAAATAATGCAAAGGGGCATAGGTGAATGTAGCGCTGTGCTTCCCGCACAGCTTGCTAATATTGTGGAGATTTATGTAAATGCAAAGACTACGTTGACGTGTTGAGTTTTGGCATGCCTATGCACTCTGTGCATGTTGCGTTGAGCCATTGCTGAGTTCAGGCTCCTTTCCGAATCACCAAGACTGAAAACTCACATTGTTTTGTGTTTGTTGGGGAGCTTCGTTCTTTCTGGGTTGTTCAGCTTTAACTTTTGCTGATTCAAGGTGCGTGTGATTGCTCCTCCTCTTCTTGTGAGCTTTCAAGATGTGTCTAATTGCTCCTTGAGGTCGGTTTTCTTCCTTTTCCCCTTCCTTCCTTCTCTATTCATAGATAGATGGAATGTTACCTTATAAAGATTCAATACTTGGCTACAGCCAAGTGATTTTTGTGAAAAGTTTGTAAGCAGTAAAGAAAAAAAAATCCATGGTGAAGAATATCATTTGTACCCGCTTGCCAGGCTCCCTTTGTTCGCCCCAGGGATTCAATGCACCTGCTGCTGTTAAATGGCTAAGAGGCTGTTCATTGCTAAGTAGATACTAACACAAAAATTGGATCTGAGCTGCTCACTCTTTTTTTCCCTCTCTGTGTTGGTGGGCTGCCTCTGGCTTTATCTGAAGATTGATTCTCTGCTAAGAATGCCAATGTGTGTTGGGATTCTAATTCTGGCTATTTCAAATCCACCCTATGGGGGATTTTTTTTTAAAAAAAAGAAAAGCATTAAAATATTTCAAAAATGATATTTTTGGCTAATTTTTGTCAAGTTTGTTGGCTGGTGGCGTCTTTGACTGTTACCCCATCTACTCTTGTGATGTTAAGAGTGAAAAACAAGGGAGAATGGGGCTCATGCTAAATTACACTATTTTCTTATGGCTGAGATACACAAATCATTTTGAGCTTTCTGTCGGAACTAGCCAACTCTAAATACAACATATTTTTCATTTTATGCAAAATCCTGTTACTTGTCATGGTGATTAATGAAGGGACAAGAACTTGGATCCTAGCTACAGTAAAACCTTGATTGAACAGAGCATACAGGGGAGGTGGTGCCCATTAAATCTAAAGGTCCATTAAATCCAAAATGCTGTCATTTATGGGCAATTACTTCATATGTGTAATTATGTGATTGGCATAATGGTGTCTTTTGCAGTAAAACCTTGTTTTAATTGACAAACACATGATTTAATGGACATTTCTTAATCCATTAAATGGGGTTGAAATCTAAACAACAAAAAAAAATTGTCCACTGAATCCAAAGTCCATTAAACAGAGTTTTACTTGTACTTCTCAAACTTGAGTGAAGACTGGATTCAAATACTGTAGGTCCTTAATATAGCAGGTTTGTTATCTCACAAGAACAAAGCAGAGCACATTTGATCAGTAATGGACATCATTCTTAAATTCCTCAAATTCTCAGTTGCGGCAATGCTGGCTAGGAATTTCCAGGTGTTGAAGTCTTTACATCTGGAGGTCACCCTGATTGGAAATTGCTGCTTCAGAAATCAAAATGGACATTCAACCCCTCAGCTCTTCCCACTAACAGTCCACAGGTTCTGGTAGCCTGCCACTGATCTCTTGGGGCCCAGTATATTTTCTGGAATCGGAAAGTATGCAGTTGCATGCCTTTTCTGTAATTTCACTCATTTCCAAGGTTCAGGTGCAAAACTGGCAAGATCTGGAAGGAATAAGTTCTAGTTTTCCAGGCAGACCTGACTCATGCATAATGTAGTTTGTTTCCTGGTTCAGTGCAGTTTGTAAGCTCATGCTAGCTATCAGTGCAGGAACCTGCACGCCTTACTCCTTTAGGAGCAGAGGAGGCTGAAAACCATTTGTTAATGAAGTTACACTACCCAGATAAATGGTTTAATTTGCTTTTTCCCTTCTAGAAAGAACTAGCCTCTACAGCATAAAATACTGTTTCACTTACTAATAGAAAATTATTGTAA